AAATCCCAACAGAGCGAAGTAACCAGAATCCTCGATGGGAAAAACATCAAGTACGAGCTGGTGGATATCTCCCAGGACAACGCTCTCCGGGAGGAGATGAGGGCCAAGGCTGGCAACCCCAAAGCCATCCCACCCCAGATCGTCAACGGAGACCACTACTGCGGGGTAAGGCTCGTGCTCTGCGCAGGGGATAAGCACCACAGAGGCTGGGTGGTGGGCAGTAATCCCATCCCCTTGTTTTTGCTACAAATGGTACCAAGATGCCTTTCAAAAGGCATTTCTCATGAGGTGCACGGACAAGGTGCTGCCAGGGTTAATGGCCATTTGGAGCACAGCGGCTTGTGAAAAATGGGACCCGGGCAGGGGGACGCTGGGGGACTGTGGGCAGCGGGGCTGTGCAGGGCTGTCCCTGCTTCGCCCAGTCGTCCTCCCTGTGACTGTCACCGCGCTGTGAACCAGTTTGTGCTGTGTGCTCAGGGGACCCTGTGCTGCCTGGCCGGCGGGAGCGTACAGCTCGCTCTTGCCTTGTGAGCGACCGTGTGGTTTTTCCCTGCAGGATTACGAGCTCTTTGTGGAAGCGGTGGAGCAAAACACCCTGCAGGAGTTCCTGAAGCTGGCCTGAGGCCCGGGCTCCCCTCCCGTCCTGGACTCTACTTGCATTCCTCAGCACCCTCATCTCTGACCACCTTCACTTCCAGGCTGTCAGCGCCGTCCTGGCACGGCGACGTGCATCCCAGCACAGGGAAACCCATGACCAAAACTACTCACTGCAGCTGCCTACGATTCTCTCCTGCCTAACCCCCATATCATCTCAGAGAGATCCAAAGAAAGTCTGATGCTCGCTGCGCATGGCCTGTGAACAAAGCTGGGCCTGGCTCACACAGCAGCTTCCAGTGCCTCTGTAAACAGCAAAGCCTCTGGGGCTGTGCGAAGTGCAGCCGTCCGTCAGCCCTCTCCTCTGCAGGGAGAGCTGCTGCTTCAGGAGGGAAGGGCTTAGGGTTGTGTGTTACTTCCTACTTTTCCCAGTTGCTGTTAAAATTGTAAATCCTGCTGCCTCACTTTGTTTTTTTTTCTTTTTTTCTTTAGCGCAACTGCAAAGATCATGGCAACTAAGTTGATTTTTGTTTGATTTTGTTTTAATGCAAAAATACTGCACAAAGCTGGGGTCTGACCCACCTGCAGGGGCCAGTGTCACTCGCAGGCTGCCTGGGGGATGGATGGGCCTAGCAGTGGGACCTGTGTGCTCCTTCTGCCCTCCGCTGCCATGTGGTGCCACGGCTCACTCGTGAGCGGTAACGGCTCGGGGCTGCTCCAGAACAGCCGATGCTGTCTTACCTTTCCTCTTTGAGTTGGCTTTTTTGCAACCTGGACCAAGTGCATTTTGTTTTCCTGCCAAAAAGCAAGTTTATAACCAGTGTTGTCTTCCGAGATGCTATTAAATGTTACTGTACCTTTCACATCGGTACTCCTGCGTTTCTTTTAAATTTGGTTTTATTTTGACTACAGGTTAAACATCACCCTGCATAATGATTCCGAGTCATTTCCAGCTCAGAGAAGCTGAGTCAGTTGTACTCGCTGCTGCAGCCTGACAGAAAGATCTTAACACCTTAGAGTGCTGCTGCTAATCAGAGGCTCACAGGACTTGTCTGAGTATCCTGCAGCGCGGTAGTGACAGGTACCTCTCAACAATTCCTCTGCATGGTAAGAACAGCAGCCTGGAGGGGGACAGCTTCAGCCAGATATGTGAGCAAAAAACAAACTCCTGGCACAAAGATTAGCTGGTTGGTTGTAGACCAGGATACAGAGGGGCAGTGGGAAAAGGCTGCCCTACAGGAGGGTCCCCTGTGCACTCCTGTATCTGGTGTAGGTGGAGAAAGGAGGAAATGAACTGAGAGCTGTGGGGACTGGGTCATTGGGAGCCCATGGGAGTGGCTGGCCAGCGTGAATGGTGCTTCCTGTGTTTGAGCTGTGCAGGGTCCAGTGCTGGTCGCAGTGTCCGGGAAGTGGTCTGGGTGTCCTGCCCCCTTCCACCGCAGCTGCGCCTTGGAAATCTTAATGAGAGTGGAAACTGCAGCTTGAATAAATGGTTTTATTGGGAGCCTTTAATGAGGGCTGTCTCTACTGTAAGGGAGCCTGCCAGAAGGCTCTGCCTCACGCGAGTGGGAGTGTTGTCAGCTGGGAGTCAAGTGGGAGCTTGTCACAGCTGAAATGGGAAGAATGTGCTGGGGAAAGGGGCCTGCAAAGCACAGCCCCAGCCCACGGGAGAGGGAGGAAGATGCTTTACTCAGGACTCAGCAGAGAAGCAGCGAGGGGATTGTGCTCTTCTCCAATGACACGGTGTCCTGTTGCAGCATCCAGCTCCTGGCTTCGGCAGCCTGCTGAGGGAGGGAGGGAGGCTGGCAGCTTGGGGCCCTCGCAGGCAGGCTTGGCGTGGCTGGAGCTGGGGTCTGTCCAAGGGAAGGAGTCGTTCACGTACAGGAAGCCCGGTAGCAGGATCTCCTGGCTGAGATGAGTCTGGCTCAGTCCCAGCACTGCACTGGCTCAAGGCCTTTTGGTTTAGCTTTACCAAGGCTTGTTTCTTGTGGTCTAAGCGTAGTGGAAATCTCTGGGGAGCAGATGTGGGAAGTGGGAGATGTGGAAAGTAAATTGTCTGTCTGTCCTGCTGCTATATAGAATGCTTGAGCCCAGTTGAGCAACTGCCCAGTACCAGTGTAAAGCTGGCAGCCTTCCCTGGGCAGGAATTGGCCTGTGAAACCTTCAACAGAGATGAGAAACCAGGCCTGGGGTTTGAGCTGGCAGAAATGCCCCCGTGTTAGAAGCCCACCTGCCTTGGGGAGGAGCATCCACTCGCCAGGCAGCAGGACTGGGCCTGGCACACTCTGCTGAAGGGAGAGGCCAAAGCGTTGCCTCTGAGCTCTCCTCTCCGTCCATGGTAACAGCACAATGAAACTAAAGCTGGAAGGACAACCCTCTCCTCTCTTCCCAGCCAGGGGAGGTTGTAATGCAGCTAATGGTGCAAGGCAGCTCCTTCCTCTTGCCAAGCTTGGGGCGAGCAGCTCTTGCCAGGAGCTGTTAAGCTGTTTGCAGCCCTGTCCCCTCTTGTTGGGAGGGGTCTCTTCTCCGCAGCAGCAAGGAGGCATTGGGGATCAGGCCACATTCCTGCAGGCTTCTGGAGTTGTCCATGTACATCCTCTGGGGAAAGGTACTGATGATCTCATACGAGTCGGAGTCTCCACCCCTAGGAAAGAACAGCACAATCTTTCCAATGCACAGGATCCCCCAAGGTTTTGCTGAGATGCTCTGGCTGATCCAGCTGCGGTTATGTCAGAGCAGAGGGAGAGACTCTTTCGCAAGCACAGGCTGAGCAGAGAGAAGGGCTTCCTGCCCAAACTGTGAACAGCCAGGCACAGCGCGGCCATCCCAGGCTGCACAGCTGCAGCGGGGAAGGAGGCTCTCGCACCCCAACAGCAGCGAGCTCATCGTGGGCTCAGACCAAGGCCAGAGCTACAGTCTGCAACAGGAGTGGGAAGAGGGGAGAGCAAAGGGGTCCCCTCGGCCATCTGCAGCTGTCCCCAAAGCCTCTGGGCAGCACTGAGCGTGTTGGGACACAGAGCTGGCTGAGCAAAGGGTGGTGGTTGTCCGGCAGCTGCACCAGCACCTTGGGGATGCCGGCAATAGTCCGGTGGGTGCTGCTGAGCAGCTGGAAGGAGGCAAAAGCAGTGATGGGCCTGGGTCAGATGGCAATTTTGAGAGGACACAAGAGGCTCATCTCTGCTGCTGTGTCAGCTTTCTAGCAAAGGTGGGTATTAAATGTTCTGAGGGCAGCATGACCCTGGCAGTGCTGCCCAGGGAGCATCTCTGGCGTTGGGAGGAGCCGGAGCAGCTCCTGGCACTGACCCTTGGCCCCGCTCAGCTCAGGCTGATCTGTTTGAAGCACAGCTTCAGGGCCTTGAGCAGCAGCTCAGAAACCCTCCCTGGGCCCTGACAGAGCTGGGCAGGGACCGAGGAGAGGAGGAAGTCCTAGGCCTACCTGGCATAGGCGAGGTATTGGCGCAGGTCTCCTATGGTCTCTGTGAACAGCATCTTCAAGAGGTACGTCTGCTCCCCGCTCTCAGATTTGATGCGGAGAGTGCAGATGTCAGGAGCAGAAGCCTCAGCCTCTTCAGCTGTCTTTGTCCTAGAGGTTAGAAAACCTCATCAGCTGAGGAGCGAGGGCTCGGCAGAGCCTGTGAGCTCTACTCAGTGGGCAGAGCCTCTGGGCTGCCAGGGTGATCTGAACAGGGCAGAGGTGATTCGTGTTTGGGTATGTTCTCAAGATGAACAAGGCCCTGTCTGACTGTGGGCAAGCAGACTGACCCATGGACCAAACCACTGCTTTGCTTTCACTTCTTAAAGGTGCCTTGGAAAGAGGGCTGATGACCTTTTTTAGCTTCTTCATTTTTGGATCAGGGCTGTCTGGTAAGTACTTCGCCCTACTTTTTTTGATTAAAAATAATCTGCTTGGGTTCTTTTTTTTCATTAGCTATTTGGGTCTTGTCTTGCCAGAAGGCTAGGAGTGGAAAAGTGTTGTTAGTGTGACCTCCTGCTCGGGCATCAGTTTCCTAGAGGAATTCTCCCATTTAACATGACCACAAACAGCTTTTTAGATGGTTTCAAACTCTAAGGCCTTGTCTTGCTGCCTGGAAAGGTATTTCACAGCAATAAGTAAGTAATGTTTTGAACAGAAGCTTTTGTTGGAGATGTCAAAGATGGCAGGTTCACCATGAACAATTCAGTGGTCTTCCCAAAAGACCAGATTAACCTTTTTTTTCTAATTATTTCTAAGGTATAAGACAGAAGGGGCAAGTCCATTTACTTCCTCAACTGAAAGCCTTGAAATAAACCCGCAGTGATGAAGTAGGAGGAAGAGGAGAGCCTGACAGGGTCGGAGGGCTGTGTCTGTACCTCTCCAGGGCCGACAGCGTGGGTGTCTCCACCAGGATCTCTTTGCTGCTCCACACCCCACCAGTACCCTGAAACCAAACCAGGTGAGCATCAGCATTGCCTGCTCTGCCCAGAGAGCAACCTATGCTATGAAAGCCCAGGGCACCAAGTGCCACGTGTGCTCTGGTGGAGCCTCTCTGGGAGAAGGAGATTCTGCAGAGCTGAGAGAGGCCCAAAGAGCAGGTATCGGTGCTGTGCAGGGCGCTGAGCTCAGGGAATCGCTGCTGGCCTCGTCCTGTGGGTGCCTGGGGGATCTGCTCATACCTGCTGTGCTGCTCTGGCTGAATCTCGGACACTGATCACTTGTCCTCTGTGTTCCGAGGACTTAGAAGGCTTGTTGAGAAACTGCTTCAAGGAGGATTTGGGACCTGCCAGAGCAGAGGAGAGATGTGTCTGTGTATGGCTTTTTTGACAAAGGATTTTTCCCCCAGAACAGGCTGATTTGGTGAAATGAGAGAGCGCAAAGGCCGACAGGGAGAGCTCTAACCTCCCCTAGCTAGGCTGAGACTGGTCCTCAGTCTCCCCTGTCGAAGCTTGTCCTACTTTCTAGCCCACTAAATGTTTGATTGTCGACATCAACAGTGAGTAACTGTGCAGCCTGTTCAGCACACAGCTGGGATGCACAGCAGGTAGAAACCTGGTTAGTCCCACTGTGAACAGGAAAAACTGAAACTCTGACAGTTTTTACAGACTTGCAAAACTTTTCATCTGTAGGTGTCCATTCCTTTTTCTGTGGTGTCACTGGGCAATGTTTGTTGTTTTTTTTCCACTACTTGGATAAAAGAACATTTAGCACAGCTTCTGTTTGTGAATAGCGAGGGTGAACAAGCAAGCAGTACAGTTTTGTATAAACAGGAAGTTGTTGCTGATGGGCAATGCACGTGGTCGGGTTAGTTATGCATGCACAAACCCACTATTTTCTGTCCAGATGACTGACTGCATTTGACTTTCCAACCCTGACGGGTATTGCTTACACAGACTGCCAGAGTCTAGAAGCAAAATGAGGCATCTTTGGCCTGACCTTATGTCTCATATTCTCTTACGAAACTTGTAGGAGAACCGAAGGTTGTTTGCGAGCTACCTCTCCAGATCTGCAGGGTTCCCTCGGCATCCTCTGAAGCTGATAAAGATGAAGCTAGAAGGAGCTTGGCCATTCAGAAGGGTGCGGGGCAGATAAGTTTTTGGAAACCTGCTGATCTTCTGGTCTTTTATTACTTGTCATGTCTCATTCTTTAGGAGGATTTAATGATGAGAGGACACCGTGTGTGCTGCCTGGCTCCCAGCTCCTGAAGCAACACTGGGGCTACAAGTGCTGGGCTCTGACCCAGGAGTCTTGCCTTCCTCACTGAGACCCTACACATTCTCCTCCTACCAGCTGGACTGCCCCGGTAAGGTTTTGATTCTCCTTTTTGGGAGTTAGCCGCGTTTTTGAGGCAGGTTTTGGAATTTACCTGGGGTCTTGGTGGTTTCCTGCACCTCGCTTGATTTTGAATGGCCAACTGCTTGGCCATGGCCAGGAAAACTCCCTGGAAGGTCTCTCTCCCGAAATACCACGTTCCTTCTGTCAATGACCTGTTGAATTAAGAGCAACTGCCATAAGCAAATGAGAGTGTTGCACAAGCTTGTTCTCACTGCATCAGAGCACAATAAACCACAGCAATGACAACCAAGAGTTGTAAACCCCAAATGAAGCCAAGAGAGCTTCTTCCTTGGAAGGTGCTCCAGCTGCCCAAACTCAATGAAATGCGTGTTCAGCTCCTATAGGTTATCTAAGAAAGCAAATCCTGGTGGATCCCTCAAGTCCCTGGGATAGCCCACCTAGACCACAGGATAACTGTTCATCCATCTCAACAGGCACCGGGCAGCTGCTCCTTTCCATGAGCCATAAGAAATGTGCTTGGACCCGACCTTTCCTCTGTGCCTGCTTCCACACTTGGAGATGCTCTCCGGGTGGCAAGTGATGTGAAAGCAGCAGGTTGGGGGTGGAGAGGGATTTGGCAGTGAGAAGCTGCAGTGAGGGCTGTCAGAAAGCTCCAGCAACCCAAGGAAGGCAGTGTGCTACCCCGAGGCCCCCAGCAGTGGGGAGAGCCCTGTAAATAGGGGCAGTCTTTCTGGATTCCTCTTACGTTCCTCTTACACTGGCTGTTCATATCGCAGGCAGATGTTCTCTGTGTCTGTATTTACCCCAGATTACTGTACTGTCCTGTGGTTTCCAGATGTGGCCAGCTAGCATGGATTATAGGGAACGACAGCCCCAAGCGCACAATCCTCCTTCTTCCATCAGACTTTAACTTCCACACCTGCCAGCTCACTCTGGCTGTCCTGACCTCACACTTGCCTGTGCAGTTGTGCCCTGCTTTCTTCGTGGCAGCGGGTAGGTGCATCCCTCTGGTTGTGCCTGCTTACGTTTCAGATGTGCTTGAAGACCTAGATTAGAGTCCTCTGAGGCTCTCTGCCTGAAAATGTGGCCTTGGCTTTTTGCCAGTTCTGAGAAACCAAGAAGCAGGGCCCAAAAGAACCTCAGGTGGCCAAATCCATTTCAATTGTGGCAAAATAAGCTCTTCCAACATCCTTCTTGAGATACACATGTTCAATCCATTTTTAAAAGCTTTTCCAGGGGAAGCATTTGAAAACTTTTCTCCTTTTTGTGATGCACCTCTTCAGATGCTGCACGTACTACTTCTACAAAGCTTGCTCTGATCTTAGAAGTCTTGTTCCAAGCCGAGATTCACCAAGGCAGATAAACTATTCAGTCCTAATGCTGAAATGCTCGCTTACTTCCTGTAACGGCTCTAGCAGGTGTGCTCCCAGCCAGCCTTTCCCCGAGACACACATGCACAGAATTAAGCTGCATGTGTGCTGTGTTCAGAAACCTCAAACATCGCTTGCTGTAGGGAGCATCCAGCAGATTGGGGAAAGAAATTGGAACAGTTTCCTTAGGAAGCAAGAGAGCAATTGCTTCCAAAAAGCGGATGAATAGGGTTTTGCACTGCTTACCTGCAAAGGGATGCCATCTGGGTAGCGCATCTGCAACTCAGAAGGAAAATAGCCATCCATGATATCCTGCAGGCATTGCTGAAACAAAATTACAACTCATGGTCATACTTCAGACTTACTATGTATCTCATGACTGATATGTTCCTTCTGGGCTGCTCCTATTCGTGGTGGTATTGCTGTGCAGAAAAGTCTGCATAAAAGACCTGGAATTTCCATCTCTAAAAATTACTACACAAAGACATATACCAGTCTGTAAAGGCACCATGGGAATGCAGATGAGAAGCTGGAGGTCTCAGTAGCTGCTCCTTTTCAGGACTGAGACGAGCTCACAAGCCCTATTTCTATACGTTCCCTTTCCTGAGGCTTAGTGAATGATAGCAGGATGGCTCTAAGTCCGATGCCTCTACAGATTTTTCCATACCTGTGTGGATGGGTCCTCGTAGGGCCGAAAGGGCCCGTTGAACATGACGATCCCATTTTGGTACAGCGTAAGAGGGAGGGGTTCTGGCTGTCTCAGCCGAGCACCCCCAGGCGTGTGCTCGATTTGAGAAACACCTTCTCCAGCCAGCATGTTCAAATCCTTCACGTTTTCCAAGATCAAATCAAAATCAATGTGGTGTTTGGAAACAACTGCTTCACCTGTGGCAGAGGGACCAGAGTCACAGGGGGAAGGGGTTGCCAGCTAAGCAGCTTTCACCTCGGTGTGAATTTGAGGTGCGTTTGGGTGCTAACACTTCTGGGCTGCCTGAGCTGCCTCTCCGTGCTTTGCCTCTTGAGCTTTTGCAAAGCGTGGTGCAACGCCGCTGCTGCGGTGCAGCGCTGCCAGGTTTACGTGGGTGTGTGCAAAACCGCAAGGGCAGGGCAGCAGGGAAACAGCCCTCTTGCTACAAGGTGGTACAACTCCAGAGCCAGCTCTGCAAGAGACCACGCTCAGCTCCTTGTCTTCGGTTGTAGTTTCAGAAGTGCTGTGTTGTCCCTGAATGTGGTACCATAAAATGCACAGAGTAACTTAACTAGCTGGATTAACTAGGTTGGATAAATGGATCAGGGCAGACTGGCTGAAGAAATGCCAGTGTACACACAGCCGGCTGCCTGCTCCTCACCCCCAGCAGGTTGCTCTCTCTTGCTGGAACGCTGCTGAGGATGTTTATCTGGGTGCTTGAGGAGGGTGGTAGGGTGAGACAGTAAGAATTATAATGGGACAAAGAGTGAAATTAGAAGAGGAAATGAAAGAAGAGATGTAGGCAGAAGTAAAGCCTTTGGTATTTTCTGTTCTGCTTTTTTTGTGATTTGATAGAGGAGGGCGAGGGAAATGTCCCTTAAAAAGGGTAAGTGAGCTGAAAAGAATGAAAATTATTTCTACTGCTTCCCCCGTCTTCTGTCCTCCTGCATCGAAGGGAGGAAAGGATTAGTTAGCCAGTATTTGCCTGGTGGTTAGGAAGCAGCATTGGCAGTACAGCTCAAGTGTTACACTTTTTTTTTTTTCCCCCCCTCCTCTGTTACCACTTCCTAAGAAGCCATTGCCAAATATGCTTGGACCCCATACAGCACAATCAGGTCTCAAACCCCTCACGTGGTGGCTGGGAGGAAAGGCAAACAATACTCCCTGATGGAGCCAGACAATATGGGTAAGTTACTACAGCCACTATTTACACAAAGCATCTGATTCCGTTTCCCACCCATTTTACGTCAGTGTTACTAGAGCAGCAAAGCTTCAAATGATTAGGGTATGTGAACTCTTCAGGAAGTAGCTGCTGCGAGGGTATCCTTCCAAATGGCTGAGCCATCAGGTTCTCTCCTCTTGCTCTATGTGGAGCTTATGAAATATGGGTATATAAAATACCACCGTTCTGCCTGGCTTAGCTCCTGTTAAATTGCTCCATGTCTCTGTCCCTGAGATGGACTGATGTGAAGACCTCGGCACAGGATCACAAATTCTGAAGGCCCAAATTCTGTGTCTTTGATGCTCACCTACTCTGGGGAGTATCATACCTTCTCTAAGTGCGCAGCAGGAGCTAGGATAGCTGCTTCAGCAAAGAGTGCTGGTGCTTTACCTGGCTTCCATAGGCTCCTTGCTGGCAGCTCTTCTTCATCCTCAAGTGATTCTGAATCTTCTGGCTGTTCATGTCTCTCTCCAACCCAAATCAGACCATAGTCATTTAGAAACCGCTGTAAGAGGAAAATACAAGTCAGCGTTGTAGACTAGAGCTTCAGAAAAGTAGAAATGGAATCCCGAGAGTGGTCAGCTGTGACTGAGAAGCAGAAGAGGAAGTGAAAGAGAAGGTTTGTCTTGAGGCTCTTTGGCCCTGGCAGACAGACAAACTCACTGTCAGGGTGAGTAGCAGCTCTACTAGTTGCAAGCAAAAGGGAGAATGAAAGTATCTGTAGTGACGCAGTAAACTCCCAAGACTGTGAAGTAGCTGTAGTAGCTACAAAGACTATTTCTACATTCCTAGAAATCAAAATGAGGAGGCTTGTAGGAGGCACAAATGTTTGTGTATTAAAAAACCTCCTACTGCCCTGTAGCTCACATCCAGCCTGTTCTTTCTATTCAGAGGGGTGAGGTGAAGAATTGTGATGATCAAAGTGGCAGCTTGAAAAAGACCAAGCAGCCTGGGACTGCAATGATCTCAAACCAAAGGTGCAGATGGCTTAGGGCAAGTGGAGCAGGTGTCTCACCTCCATCTCCCAGACCTGGGTCTGCAGCTGAAGGCACCTAATTTCCAGTTCTTCTGCTGTGGGTAAGTCAGGAGCACCTGAAAAGGAAGACTTGTTTTTTCTATATACAGTGTTAAAGAAGAGTTATAGACAGCCTGTGTCACACAGTGCAGATGACCCAAAGTACTTGTCTGTACCGTAAATGAACTCAAGCCTGTGTGACACAGGAGCTGAATATGAGCTCCACATGCTTGTCCCTGACAATTCAACCTGCAGCAGTTTGATAAAGATGTTGACAGACTAAAAGATAGTTGTGAACAATACTGGTGAAGTTTTATGCTGTGGGAAGCTGATGTGTGCAGTGCTGTTTGCAATTATACAAAGAGAATTGCTTGGCTTACTTGGTCTTAAGGCTCCTATTAAAAAAATAAGCAGGTGTCCACTAAAGCTGGATCCAGAAGCCTAGGCTGAATGGTTAGAACAATGCATGATGAAGTGCAAAACACATGTTTGTGGTTTGACAGGCGTATTCTTGTTCTCCGCTCAGGAAGCGGAGAACTTACCACAGCTTTGTGCTAACAAGGTAGTTCAGCCGTTGTAGGAAACATGTCTGGGCTCAGCTGGAGAGCTGCAGGATTCCAAGGAACTGAGTGGGGGAAAGACCTTCAGTGACTCACTCAAATCTGGGTTCAATTTAGAGTTAGGCTGCCTTGCAGGACGAGTGAACCTGGACCCGTAGTACTGTTTGAGACTCCAAGCTGATTTTTGGTTTCGCTTAGCTCTGAGTAGCTGTTCTTGCAGCCTGTTTGAACTCTGCAGTATTTACTGTTCTTTTTTTCTGACCATCCTCAGGTATGTGTCGTTGGTCTATGCTCATGAAAACTTAGTAACTCGTAGAAAATAGGTCAGGAAATAATGTTTTGCACTGCATGTGAAAAGCCGAGTAACAGACACAAGTATAAAGTGCGGATCTGCTTTGGCAAACAGTACCACGTGTGTGTAACTGATACCACTCACCAGAGAGGCTCTTGGGCTTTTAAGGTAAGGATGGCTTGCAGAGGAGCTCCTCGAGCCTGCTCTGTTGCAGTACCAGGAGCTCTGTACCTCTCCCACAGGTAGGAGCAAGGTTCCAAGGGTAGAACAATTTTTACCTTCTCCTTTCTGAAGCGTCTTCATCTCCTCTTCAAGTTCAGCAATCCTCCTGTCCTTCAGGACCAGAACAAATCATGAGCTTGTTTAGTACCTCGGCCTTCAGGACCCTGAGGTTTGCATAATTAGTCCTGGCTGGGTGAGTCAGTGGTGCTAGTGCTGTCACCCCATTTAGGCAAAATAAGGGTCAGGAAGGCTGTATCACCTCACAAACACCTTAATTAGACTCAGATGAGGGGTGGGATAGAAATACACTGCTCCAGGAATAGGTGAGTGAGATGCTGACCTATCTCCTGCTCCTCTATCTGCACAAGAGCTGTAGGCAGACACACGGACTCGTGTCCCTGTGCTTCCTGCTCAGGCACAGCTCGTGCTCTGACCTGCAGTAAACTGCTGATCTAGAAATGAAACCAGCACCTCTGCAGCCACCTCTTTAAAAAGAACAACAACAACAAAAGGTATTTATTCTAAGCTGCTGTAATGCAAAGAGGTCTGCTCCGGGATGACTCTGCTCTACGCACGGCTGTTGTTTCAGAAAGCAAAAGGAGGGAAAGAAGGGTCTGAAGCCAAGCAGCTGATGATTTCAGCGAAAGGGTACCGAGAGTCTTTACTACTTAGTCACAGCAGGGACTGTCCCCTCTCTCACCCCAAGGACTGATACAGTTGCTCTGCAAAGGCTTGTTTGTGTAATTAACAGAGCAGGCTACAGGCTACAGATTAACTTGTTTGAGCCCAAACTAGGTCTGAGCAGGTGTAACGCTACTGTGGCTTCAACCGTCAAAGGAGAGCACAGAACAGGTTCATTGAGGGGCAGGATTTCTACCTTCAGCTGGATTTCTTGTGCTTGTTTCTCTAATTTTTGCTCCAACAGAGTGATTTTTTGCATCATGGAGGACATGAGCTCTGCGTCGGTGCGAGCTGCACCTGAAAGCACAAATACACGTTACCTCTCTAAAATGGCGACTGGTATTGGAGGCTCATCTGCGCCGTAGGGGACCCGCCGCAAGAATTCCTGTTCTGCCACGGCAGGTAGGACAAGGGTACCTTTGGGGGTACTGGGTAGAAATCCCTTGGCTCCCGACTGGTTGGGAGATGGCTGTGTCACCAACAGCACACTGTGTATGCGAGGGGGGGACCACAGGAATTAGCCCTGGTCTGGGGTATTGAGTCCACCAGGCTGTCACTGAGAGACCGCGATGGCCCAGAATCCCCTCACCACTGAGGGACTTTACCTTGCATGTTCTTTTTCAGTGTTGTCCCCCTGGAGCAGGAGGGGAGGCTGCCTTGCAGTGGGTTCTTTGTCCTAGGAGACAGGCTGTCATCTTCTGAGAAAAGGCACGAAGAGCATGAAAGAAAGAAAACAAGTCAGCTTTGGATACGACTTCTCCAAAAGCAGGTAAAGAAATACTGGGGGTTATGCTGAGGGGAAGAGAGGGCAGGAGGAAGCATCACGGCCCAGTCCATTGGCTCCCATTAGCACTCTGACTAATGACTGTGGGCGCTCATTATGAGCTGGGACCCAGGGGAAGGGACAGTCTCAGCAGCTGGGAAGAGGGAACACAAAATGGGGCTTGCAGAAAGGGACCATGACACTTGCACGGAGCATCCTGCGCTGCACAGGGAGGCAGAGAGTGGTAATATTGAGCTACTTTAACAAAAAGCGGAACACTTTGGGATTAACAGAAGCAGCAGACTTCACTGGGAGTGGAAAGGGAGTTTTTGCTCGAAGATCTAGTAGGAAGGATGTGACCTAAAATGGAACTGTAAAAATAGATGAGGCTCTAATGTACTCTAGGGCTTGCTGAGGATGTGGAAACCTTTTGTTACCTGTCTGATTTTGGATACATGTAGGAGAGAGCGCGCTACAATCATTGAAAAACATACAGGGTGGTAAGAAAAGCCTGACCAGTGGAGGCAATGAACTTGGACAGCTCTGCCCTTTTAGTAGAAATACTCATAGAATGATTTGGGTTGGAAGGGAGCTTAAAGATCATCTGGTTCCAACCCCCCTGCCATGAGCAGGGGCATCTTCCACTAGACCAGGTGGAATACAAGGGGACAATATGTAAAAATATGTAAAAAATAAAGCATAGGTTTGTTAACTTTGGGAGGACTTGCTTGATGGGCAAATTTTTTAAAGTGTAGTTGAAAAGGCTTTCCAAAAAAGCCCAAACTGTGCATTTTTCTCATCAGCCCATCTTCCCAGCCCATACATCCTTGGCTTTCCGGGCAGAGTGGGTGTCCATACACCACAGCTTGTAGCAACAGCTAAAATCCTTGAGCGGGATGGAGCCTGAGAGAAAGAAGGGCTGAAACCCGGGTGGGTGAGGCACAGCAACCCCTGCTGTGTCGGGGCAGAGGCGGGTGAAAAAGCTGATGCTTGCGATGCCATTGCAGCTGCAGAAAGAGACTCTTCTCCGCTTGACCCTGAGGAAACGCAAACGTGACACAGACCGGTGCGAGACGTGACTGACCGATACCCCAGGTACCTGCTGGGGAGTGATGCTGGCCAGGAGGCAGCAGATAAGAAATTTGGGGAGTTTTATTGGAACCGGTGGTGTTTCTGAGCCTGTCACTGCCATGTGCAGCCCTGTGGGTGCCCAGAAGGCCGGCAGCCATCAGCTTTTGGAGGGACCGCTGGCAGAAAGGGGCTCAGAACAACGGGGGTAACCGGGAGCTGCCCGGGGGTCTCTGTGCGTGGGCCCTGGGGGGGGCCCGATGTGGGTGGCAGCGCT